CCACCACTATTGACAGTTATGCCGAAACAGCATTAAACGCTTGACTTGTTTTTAGCTTAGCAGCAAAGACGAAGATTTCTTGGATTTGAGCGTAGACGTTGAGCACAATACGTCGATTACGCATTGCTTACGCGAGTTCAGTGCAACCGAAACCTTGTGCAATGAACATAAGTACTACTGTGATGTATGTTGCTCGAAACAAGAAGCCCAGAAGCGGTAAACGTTGTGCACATTTTGCTCTGCCTCATTATCGCTGTGTTGTACCGTTGCGATGCTTTTAGAATGAGAATCAAGAAACTACCTCTGATTCTGGCGCTTCACTTGAAAAGGTTCAAATACATCGAACAGTACAATCGGTACATGAAGCTGTCATACCGTGTTTTGTTTCCATTGGAATTGCGCCTGTTCAATACGGTATGCATTTTTTGCTTTATGATCATGATGCATTTTCGTTAATTTGCTGTTTTCTGCTAAAATTTGCTTGTATAATATCCGTATCTGAATCTAGTTGTTAGTGCATTAATCGTGACACTGTTCAAAATCGTCATACGCCGACCTATGTGACGTAATATTTGAGTTTTTTCTAATGTAGACGCGCAGTTGTGCCAACCTCTTTCGATTAACAAGTGTAATTCGTTCATAAAAATCAGTAATAAAGTGAAAAATCAAAGGGCAAAAATAAATTCCCATTCACGTTCATTATTGATGTAAAATTTCCAGACTCGAAAACCCCCTATTTTTCAACATACGAGAGCAGGAAAACTGATTACGGTATTAATTTTATGCCAGTTCTATTTATCTATTTATTTATTAAGTTATTTATTTAATCATGTCAAGCACCATTAAAGTATTTAATAAGGAAACTTGCACGTTTACCGCAGCTATTGAAGTTACGCAGTATTAAAATAAGAATCTACGTAAACAAAAAATAAACGGTTATCACTATTAGTCCTTAGTTACTGGATAACAGTCATAAAACGTCAATGCAATTTTTTACGAACTAATATTGAGATTAACATTTTAATCAAGAAAATCATGTCTGTAAGCCTTACCAGAACAAGAGGACATTGACTGACAAAGTACAGTGAGATATTGTTTGGATTGGTGATGAGTCAGTGACTAGATAACGATTAAGAAGGAGATGCTATCCAGATTCTGTAAGAGGCTGTACATCTTTACATGTATAGCTTCATACCGATTTCAGCTTCCATGTTGGTTTTGTTTTCAGCTTTTGAGGTTGACAGTTTAGGCGGAAGTGGTGAATTTTAGGTTTGAGGAAACGAAAAAATTGAAGTTATACTGTACCTTTCGTTTTCCTGTCATGCTTCGTAAAATTCCTCATATCAATAAAGGACTTTTTGAGCTTGTTGCTTTTATTCTGAACTGCGTTTAAGTTGGGCTAGTTTTGTCGAAAATTTATGTAGCTGTTTCCAGTGTACTGAAGAATTTGACTATCTTGGTGTCCAACCTTTTTTGGTTAAATAAATTCTTTCTATTTGTATAATTTCTTATCTGCATCCAGCTGAAGTAATTTTCCATGAGTAAATCCTTGACCGTGACAGTAACTGGTCCTGAACATCATCTTTGCGTAGCTTATTCGGATCGCAGCGTCATCATCAGACAGTGTTTTCGATACTACGCCACCTATGAGCTTCGGAGTACGATAACCCGAGTATAACCCGAGCCTGCAACAGAGTCTGTCGAAGCACTTGCTCCTGGTCATTCTACACCTTCCCCATGGCGTTCGGCCATTCAGTAGAGAAAGTAGCAACTGTTCCACCTTCCTTTCTGGGAGCATTCGCAACCAGTCGCAAGTATGAGTTCTCAGTCTAGAGAAACAATTGATGTACACAAAAACTCTC